TGGTTCTTCTGTTGTTATCCTATGTAACCCGATTTCATGAAATTTAGAGCAATATGTCTTGCTGATTTATAACCAAAGTCCAGAACATTTTAAAATGAAGTACTGACATTCAATTAAAGTTTTAAAACTCATAAAACTGACCTGGCAAATAGAATATATAATTAGTTAGGGTTTTTTGTGTGTGTGTGTTTTCACTGACAACAAGTGTACAGCAATTAGGTAAGTTTCCCCTCCTTTGGTCCACAATTGATAATGAATGCCTAAGGATCAAATTTCTCAAGGTTGCTCTCGTAGGAGACAGTATCCACTGGCTAGGAGGTGGTGACTTGTAGAGCCACATGAAGCTTTCATATAAAGGTTTTCCCAGTGATAGGGACAGAGTAAAGGAACAAAGTAGGTCAGTTTCAGGGGGCTCCAAGGAGCTCCAGTTCTTTATGGCTCAGTGAAGAAAGAATTCGGTGAGAGGCAAAGTGATAAATAAGAAGTGACTTATTAGAATAGGACACTTCTGAGGCTTTCAGGCAGGCTAGCAAAAGGGTGCTGTGCCCTGAGAACTTAGTGGGCTGCACTTCTATAATCAAAGGAAAAGTGGGGAGGGGAAAAAAACCACCTCCTTCCTCATTTTTTTTTTTTTTTTTTGCCGTACGCGGGCCTCTCATTGTTGTGGCCTCTCGTTGCGGAGCACAGGCTCCGGACGCGCAGGCTCAACGGCCATGGCTCACGGGCCTAGCCGCTCTGCGGCATGTAGGATCTTCCCAGACAGGGGCACGAACCCGTGTCCCCTGCATCGGCAGGCGGACTCTCAACCACTGCACCACCAGGGAAGCCCTATCTCTTCTTAAAGGAGAGAAATGTTGCCCTCTGTGACCCTGTAGTATTCCATAAAAATGAAGTATCCCATAAAATATGAACTAAAAAATTCTGAACATAATTTTTAAATTTTTTCAGAGAGAACATTGCTAAATCAGGTAATACATTCTAAACCAATAGTTCATTTTTAAGCATTTTAGAAATTCAAATTCACTATTCAGATTTTCATTTAAAATATTCTGCCTCTTGAGTACTGTCAATGAAAATCTGTTCCTCTAAATTTCTTGAAATTAATTTAAGTAGAATAATATCCCAAAAGTCCAATCAGAGTTTTATTACCTTAATTAACTTATCAGCATTTGCCAGTTATTCAACTGAATCTATACTGGACAGTTAACATTTTAGTTATTATTGGAGAACACTGTTCCTTGAAAATTTATCATTGTGGATTTTTATTTTATTATACATTTCCAGGAGCATTTAGTTAAAACAATAAAGAATGAATTCCAAAATCTCTAGAAACAGTTTTCTTGTAACTTTTAACTTCATTAAAATTTTCCATATAACGAGAGACAGTTTTCCTAGAAAATTTAAAGACATTTAAAAGTTGTAGGTAAAATTTTAACTTTGATCCCAAAAGATGAAATTATTTAAAACAAAATTCAATTTAACAAAATTAATTTCAATTAGTATAAAATTAGCATGTTTTCATATACATTTTAAAATAAAACATGTTTTGCTCTTTAAAATTATGTTATGCCTTCATATTCAAATTTATAAGATACATAAGTGAAGAGAATAGTGGATACAGCAGTGATTAAAAGAATAAGACCCATAAAAAGTGAAGTGATATTTTTTGCATATTAGACTGTTGCAAATTTTAAAGTTTGCTAATACTCATTTTTGGTGTCTATGCAGAATTATGAACCTTAATAAACAGTTTGTGTGGGGTTTTTTTTTTTTGTCTTTATTTTGATAAGAACATAATCTATACCACACTCTTTCATTGCCATTTGGCAACAATACCTGATCATGCCTTCATTTCCAGCAATTTAATCTGTCACCATTCCAACAAATTAAATTAATGAAAGTAGACATCAAATGTCACTTTGCACTGATTAAAATTGGAAAGAATATAAATCCATTCAGTGGAAAGTTATTATTTAAAGAGAATGATGTCTGTTAATAATTGTTGACTTGCTAATATCTAAAATATACATGATTAGTTAAAAATATATAGCATAGAACAGTTCCATTCATATAATCTCTTTTATGCAAATACAGAGTTTTTATCCAATAATTTATTCATTTATTTTCACTAGTTCATATAATTATTTTTGTAGAAGTGGGCCCAAAACTTAAATATATGTAAGTATATATATCAGGCAAGAAATCATGGTATGGAAGTTAAATGATGATGATGGAGAAGGTAAGTTTTATTTGCATTTAATAACTTTCTGTAGTATTTGAATTTTAAATAACAGACATGTTGAATATATTTTAAAAATAAGGAAAATAATAGTCATAAAATGAAATGTTATTAGGAAATAGAAAAAAGTAGTAACGGTTGTGAATTTTGGGTGGACCAAATACGTCAGAAAGGATTGATCAGTTAATGAACAAGAGAGAGGATACAGAAGACTTGAGCTTGAGCTACTGCCCTTTTTTCTTCTACTAGTTCTCTGTTGGGAAAATCATATTTATTTCCCATTACTTTATTTTATGAGCAGTTATTTCCATTAACATCCCTGCACTCTTGCTCTACCCATAATTCTTCTACAGGAGGTCCTTGACTGGAATTGGTTAGAACTTACACATCAAAGTCTCAGGAGTCAGGAATCACTCTTTTCCCCGTATTTTTCCACACTAAGAGTGAGGCAGGGCAGCCACACAAGCAAGCGGTATAATCTGCAGACTAAACTTTCCTTTGCATGACTTTTCCCAAGTTTGGTTAAGATAAATAAATAATTTTTTTTAAATGCCAAAGTAACAGAGACTTGAAGTCACAAAAATATCATGGCATAAAGGCTAAAATACAAGAAAATGTAGTGCAGTTGCTAGTGTAAAGAAAAATCTTAAATTTTTTTATATCAAAAATGTAGTTGAATATTACGTTAAAAAGTTTAATATATGTTAACTATGAACCAGACATGTTCAACTGTAAAAATATTTTGATAAATGATATTCTATTTATTATTATTTTGTCTATACTTGAATTAACTAAAAATATCTGCCAAGGTTTTCAGCACGGTTTCTGAATTCTGAGCATCAGTGGGAGCATGCAATTACTAGAGGAAGTGAGGAAGCTAGGTAACTTGTTTAACTATGTTCCAATTTACTGTTTCTTTTCTGCATCTTTTTCTTTTTTTATTGTAGCCTACAGTGAATTCAAAACTCCTTAACAAATCCAAAGCTAATTTTAGTAAAAGTAGAGCTTACAAAAATTTAGAAATCTTATAATTTTTAAATGAAATAATCTCTAGCCATTCATCTAATCCCTCATTCTTTACATACTGGGAAGTTCAAGTTTGTTAAATCATCTTGGCCTAGATTTTACTTTCTGTATCTGACGATGTGGCAAAGATGACCGGCAGGCAATTCAACAGATTTTGTGATTCCCCTATCAGTGGGGCTCAGGCAAGAATGAACTTTCCCAAGTCCCTCCCATCCTCCATCCAGTGGGGCTGTATTTTTGCCAAAGGTATGTGAGATAAAGTTATGCTTGTCTCTTCTAGTCCTAGGCCTTTAAAAGGAGGTCTCTCTTTAAGCTCTCTAATTCTTTTGATTTTTGTTCTGAGCATACAATGGTGTAGCTGTAAAGATTGACGGAGCCACAGATTGAAGGATCCTAAGTCCCTGAATTACCATGGAAGAAAGCCTCCTTTCAATTGAGTAAACATCCTGAATCATTATGTGAGGGAGAAATAGAATCCTATTGAGTTTTGCCATTATAATTCAAAGTTTATTTATTCAAATATCGTGTTACCCTAAGTAACGCATACACAATTTTAAATTTACAATGCATTCATTTTTATTTTGACTCATAGCTTATTTCTGAATTTGGCTTTAGGGAATAGAAATTAGATATATGTGCATATATATATATATACATATTATATATATATATATATATATATATATTTTTTTTTTTTTCCTCGATAGAACAAGGGTAAATGGTAAATAGTATCTGGGAAATTGAATGATACAGTAATTTTCAAATTTACCATTATGTGATTTCTTCTGTTTTCCACTATTAGTAAGCCTAGGATTTGGAAATTTTGGGGAAATACACATCCTCCAAAACCAGAAATTTAGGGGATCAGATTTTTTTCTTTATGTCTATAATCTGTAGAACTGGCTGAAGAAAGTTCACATAACAAAATAATTTCATGGTTCTGTTAGTCATGGCAAGTATCATTATTATATTTATTATGTTTTTCATTTTAAAACAAAGTAAAATAAAATAAAATAGCAAAACTTATCCAAGAAAGAAATAGAGATTTCTCTTATCTCCTTGTCAAACTAAAATGTGGTGGTACTGATCTGCTGTTTTTGTGCAAAGACCCCTGAAGAGATGACATGCTAAGTAAGGGAGGGCCTATAATATGTCCCATTAAATGAAACCCATCATAAGCCCACAAAGAGGACTTCCTTGGTGGCTCAGTGGTTAAGAATCTGCCTGCCAATGCAGGTGACCCAGGTTCGATCCCTGGTCCAGGAAGATCCCACATGCCATGGAGCAACTAAGCCTGTGCACCACAACTACTGAGCCCTCGCGCCACAACTACTGAAGTCCGCGTGCCCTGGAGCCCGTGCGCTGCAACTACTGAGCCCGCGTGCTGTAACTACTTAAGCCCATGCGCCTAGAGCCAGTGCTACACAACAAGAGAAGCCAACACACTGAGAAGCCTGTGCACCGCAACGAAGAGTAGCCCCTGCTCGCCACAACTAGAGAAAGCCTGCACGCAGCAACGAAGACCAAACACAACAAAAAATAAATTAAAAAAAAAAAGGCCCACAAAGGTTATTGTGAAAACTTTGAAACAGATACGTACAGGAAGTCAACATTTCTTTCTTTAGACGATCTGTTGTAGTGATTCATAATTATGATTCTAATGATATTTCATTACCTATGAAATCAACACAACATACAGAATTTACAAAAAAAATAAAGTCTCTGTGTCACCTACCTGTATACTTATACACTTTGTGGAGAAAATTTAGACCAAGCAGGACTGTGTTCTGAAAGCCTGTAAAGTCACTGATGAAGGGGGCTCTATTCCCACTAACAAGCATTTGTGTTGGCAGGCCCTTCTGGAGTCCATATGTTCTAATCAAAGCTGAAGGGAAGAGGGGTGGAGCTAAATAATCCACAAACAAAGCTCTGCTGCTTTCCAACTCTGCTTCTTGTTTAGAGTAATGTTGTAACCTAATAGACAAGTGAGGGGGAGTATGCATTTAGAATTAGTCTACTCAGAACTTTGCCAACTGAACTTATAAAACAGCTAATTTCTTCAAAACTACATTATTCTACTTTTTAGATTACAGACTGTAAAAACGTGGTATTGATTTAGCCCCTAGATTTGAAACTTTGAAGAGATGTTCTTAGAATTTAAATCTAGAAATTACCATCCCAGAAAATATGTACTTTTAGTCAAATGTTTTGCCTTTTTCATAAAACATGCTCTACTTGCATAAACTCTGGAATGTGACCAACTCTCATTGTTTCATAATGTAAAGATATAAATCAAAGAGGATTAGCAATTTCTGCTGGATTTGGATATCTCTTTAAGAGCACATGATTTTCATTTCAGGTAACCACTGAAAACTGAAATAACCTATAGAGAATATTTCCTGATTTTCAGGTAGTTTGATATTTTTTCCTAATTATATATACTAGACAGACAATTTTTCTCTTTTTTTTTCCAGCTGTACAACATAATGATTTGATATTTGTGTATATTGCAAGATGATCACCACAAGTCTAGTTAACATTAGTCACCCTGCACAGTTATAAATTTTTTTCTTGTGTTGAGAACTTTTAATATCTACTCTCTTAGAAACTTTCACATACGCAATACAGTACTATTAACTATAGTCACCATGCTGTACATTATGTCTTCATGACATTTATTTTATAACTAGAAATTTGTACATTTTGACCCCTTTCCCGCATTTCACCTACCTCCCGCCTCTGGCAACCACCAATCTGTTCTTTGTGTCTATGAGCTTGGTTTTTGTTTTTTGAGAGTTTTGTTTTGTTTTTACGATTCTACATATAAGTGAGGTCGCACTGTATTTGTCTTTCTCTGTCTGACTTATTTCACTTAGAGTAATGCCCTCAAAGTCCATCCATGTTGTTGCAAATGGAGAAATTTCCTTCTTCTTTATGGATGAATAATATCCCATCGTGTATATATACCACATTTTCTTTATCCATTCATTTGTCGGTGGACACTTAGGTTGTTTCCATGTCTTGGCTAGTGTAAATAATGCTGCAATGAACATGAGGGGTGCATATATTTTTTTTCAAATTAGTGTTTTCTTTTTTTTTTTCAGAAAAATACCCAGAAGTGAAATTGCTAGATCATATGGTAGTTCTATTTTTAATATTTTGAGGACTCTCCATACTGTTTTCTATAGCGGTTGCACCAATTTACATTCCATTTTCCCTTCTTATTGACAAAGAAATTTTAATTTTTAATTTGTAATGAATAATGTTATATCTGTATTATCTGTATCACCTGGTCTGTAAATATACCTACTTATAAAATACTTTCAAATTTTATCCAGTAAAATGTTTTCTTATCAGTTTTATCTTTATCATAATACTTCCCGATGGTTCACATATAGGTAAATTGAAAAAGATTCCAGTGAAAAAGATAGTGTAAGATAGAAAGATAGTGTAAGATTAAAAAAATAACTTTAGATCCATTCTTACCTATTGTGAAATTTTTTTACAAGCAACCTTCAAGGATGAGACATGTGCAATCCATAAGTACTTCAAGAGGTCATCAAAGTTACTAGAATATGACTTTACCTGCTATCCAAGAAAGAAAATGTTATTAATATTTAGGCAATTATAACAATCTCTCTTTCTGAAAATCAATTCTATTTATAAATATAATTTTTCAATATTCTAAATGAGGGGAGAACATTTAAGAGTTAAAGTATAAAAAACTTAATGCTTAATTCTCCCCAAAGAGCTTAATATTAGCTATATTAATTACTAGTATTACTGAATCCACTTGAAAGAAATAAACCACATGATTTTGAAATGCTCAGAATTTTATACTGTAGTATTTCATTTATTTGTTTTTCTCTTGCTGTGCAATGAACTTTCCACAAAGTTTTAAAAGTCAGAAATGGGAGGAGGTATAAGAGTATTTTCACCTAATCATATGCAATATAATGAACAAGTTCTCTAAAGGGAAACCTGATCTTTGGTCATTTACTCTCTCACCCGTGACACTTCACTTTGGACATCAACATTTGATTCTGATTGTCAGATTATCATTTTAGTCAGAGCAGGTGATGGTTTATAAAGTGAGTTGAAATAAGCTGATCAAATTCACCACAATCTATTCCCTAGAAGTATTTATAGAGTTTACTGCTCACTTGATCTGAAAATGTGATGAACATGCACTATGAAGACATAATTTCTACAGGTTTTGAATATAATTTATTTGGTGTGAAAAGAATGGATAGGGCAGTCTTCATATTAATGTGGGTGCTAATGAGATATGATGTCATGCAGTAATCTACTCATATTAATATTGTTGTCATCCTAATAAATATTTAGATACCAGAACTTTATTCCTTAGGAACATACTGTTTAATGCATAAAAAATCTTACATTAAATATTATTCAAAATTTACCTGACTACTCTCGAAAAGTATTATTAAAACCCTAAAAAAAAAAACCCTACCAAAACCTGGTAAAATTTATTCCATTTTTTCATTGTATCTGGAAAGGATGAATAACAGCTAGAAACATTATAACAAAAATTCATCTGATCCTTGGATGGTGGCAGAAAGGTGACATTGTCTGATGATATTCCCATTATGCCAGAATCAACCACAGCAAGGAAGGGTATTGCAGAGAGATAATAATTAAGATCTGCATAAACAAAAAGTTATTAATGTATTACAAATTCCTACTTTTGTCCTATGTAGTTAAAGCAAGTTTTGAGGTTACTAGTTTTCTCTAATTGATATTTTCATAATTGGATAAATTAACTACTAATTTTTAAAATACTGTCTCAAACCTCATGTCAAAACATTCACAATATTTGGGTCAAAGAGATTTTTCTCTTTTTTTGTAAAAGCAATAGTTCAGATTTCTATTTTTGTTTCTATAATTGGGATTCTAGATTGAATTGATTCTTTGAGGAAAGGTCATCAATTTGAGTTTTCATTGTTACCTTAAACTCACCAGCCCACCAACTGTCCACAGAGATACATAGATGATCCCCAGATTCATGGCCACAATCTGCCCTTTGGGTGGGATCAGCTAAAGAGAAAGGATCAAGGGCTGGGTTTACAAGGCTCATTTTTAAGCTGTAGATATACTAGATACATTAGGTTTACAGAAATGCACAAAATATTTTTCTTTTAAAGAATTGTGTCAGCCTTCCCATCACTGTTGTAAAAAAATTAATAAACAGAAACCCAGGGCTTCCCTGGTGGCACAGTGGTTGAGAATCTGCCTGCCAATGCAGGGGACATGGGTTCGAGCCCTGGTCCAGGAAGATCCCACATGTCACTGAGCAACTAAGCCCAAGCGCCACAACTACTGAGCCTGCACTCTAGAGTCCGCGAGCCACAACTACAGAAGCCCGCGTGCATAGAGCCCGTGTTCCACAGCAAGAGAAGCCACTGCAATAAGAAGCCCACGCACTGCAACGAAGAGTAGCCCCTGCTCGCTGCGACTAGAGAAAAGCCCGTGCGCAGCAACAAATACCCAACACAGCCCAAAATAAATAAATAAATTTATTTATTAAAAAAAGACCAGAAACCCAAATTAAATTAAATTAGATTAGATTAAATTAAAATTTGGGAGACCAGAATGGAGAGCTCTCACACCTTGCAATGACAGCAGATCCCAACAGGAAGAAGAAAAACTCCTTTTCTTTCCTCACAAGGATTCAGCCAATGAAAAGCCATGGATTCTTTGCTTACTATAGCCCTCCCAACTTCCTTTTTCTTCTATAAAAGTGTGCTCCTTGCCTTGCCATGCGGGCACTTGCATGTTGTTTTGCATGGTTGCAGACCCTGAACTGCAATTCTCTGCTGATCCTGAAAAAACCCAGATTCCCTAGAGAAATATTTGGCTGTCTATTTATTTGTTTATTTGGTCAACATTTTGGCAGTCCATGCAGGGACCACAGAAGATCCTCAAAGGCTCTGGGATTGTGAGCAAACAGGTGTGGTACACACAACTGACCCCATTATCGCTCACTGCTTTCTCAGTGACCCTGGAGTTTGAAGGTATGTCTTTCTTCTAGATCTGAGCTCATGCTCTCTTTGCATTTGATGCTCTGTAGGCTTTATTTGGGATCTACTTTAAGTTTCGTCTTTCTGGGTAAGTCCTTGTTCTATATGCAAGTACCCGTTTGGCATTTTGATCTGATTTTGAGATTAGACTGTTTCAACTGAAGCAGGCTGAAATGCCTTAGACTCATTCTTTTGGGACAGGGGAAGAATCCCTTGCTTCACTGAAATCGTGTTGGTTTTTTAGCCTTTGACTTATTCCTTTGGAAGGGGTTATTTTCTGGAAATTGGCTGAAAAGACTTTTGGCCTGGCTTCTCTGGGACCAAGCTGTTTTTTAACATTGGCTGGCATTAGGCTTGCAAGTTGTTTGAGCTGTAAGCTGTTCAAGCTGTTTGAAAATTTTTCTTTGATCTCAGAGAGACAGCAGCTAGTGGTCTTGAAACAGGATCTTAGCTCCCTGCCCAGGAATTGAACCTGAGTAGCCTGGATGAAAACCAGGAATCCTATCTGCTAGACCACCAGGGGCTAGAGGCTAGAAGCAAAGTTGCCCTGGCTCTTGCCCCCATTTGAAAGCAAGAATATTTCAAGGAGGCAAAAACTGCAAAAACAGGTACAAAGTTTATTAATAGAGACACAGCACAACATGTGGGAGAGCCCACAGAGAGTTTATTTAGACAGAAACAAAACAGGAATACACACCTGGAGAGGAATGGTGTGGGTGTCCTCCTTAATGAGGAGAGGTACAGTAAAGAGAAAGTCAAATCATTTATATAGGGGCAGTTCTTCTGAGTCTTTGTTCTCCTCTGGCCAATTATCTCATTTCTTTTCTCATATCTGACCTATCTTAGGGCCCTATCCAATATTAGCCAAGATGGATTCCAGCGGAGGCTTATGGGAGGCTTTAAAACACCTACTATGGGATGGCGCTCCCTCCGTTACTGACCCCCCAAGGAGCCTTCCTGTACATGTGCAGCTGGGGAGGTTTCCTTGACCTCAGGAGTGATAGATGTGGTCGTCTTTACTCCAGCAGGGCTCAGCTCCTGCCACTAATTTTGTCCTTGGAGTGTCAGGGAAAACAAAGCTCCAATTCACTCCACTTGACAAACCCCAGCTGCTCAGCCCTGGGGCCCATCTACCTCCTACCTCACTTTCACTCTAAAGAAAAACCTCTGAGAAATGGGATCCCAGTTACCTAAGAATTTTAAGAGTGCCCTCCGCCCTCCTCCCGGACTCCAGCCAATTTTATATTTAAAAACAGTGGTCCTTCCTCGTGCACATTTGCAACTAAATGGATCAACCTGGCCAAACAACAATTAAAAATATCAATGGCCGGGGCTTCCCTGGTGGCGCAGTGGTTGAGAGTCCGCCTGCCAATGCAGGGGACACGGGTTCGTGCCCCGGTCCGGGAAGATCCCACATGCCGCGGAGCGGCTAGGCCCGTGAGCCATGGCCACTGAGCCTGCGCATCCGGAGCCGGTGCTCCGCAACTGGAGACGCCACAACAGTGAGAGGCCCGCATACCCCCCGCAACAAAAAAAAAGAATAAAAAAGAAAAGAAAAATCAATGGCCATTATGGGGAATTTTTGAAATCTCCAAACAATTTTCTTAAAACAAAATTCGACTACAATTGCTTAAAAATTTCCAGAACTGAGTGAAATGCTTATTTCAATTGGTATTTTGAGGCTTCCCAATATTATTGGGAGTCTAAAATTGTATCTCTGCAAATTAAGATTTTAAGATGAACTGAGACAAACAATTAAAAAAAGATAAAATGTCTCCCATAGCCTCATGCTCTTCTCCCTTGGTTTCTCCTTCAGCACCACCTGTCTCTTTCCCCAGCTCTCCCTGTCCAGACTCCACCTCTGATGCCATCATCCCCCTTCCTTCTACACTACCCACACCTCCTCTATACCCTCAATTCCCCCATGATAACACTCTCACCCAACTTCCCCTTTCTCTGAAACTCTCCCCATTCCCTTTTCCTCTCAACTTGTCAGAATCTGTCCCTTTATTTACTTTTATTTTTTTTAACATCTTTATTGGAGTATAATTGCTTTACAATGGTGTGTTAGTTTCTGCTTTACAACAAAATGAATCAGTTATATATATACATATGTTCCCATATCTCTTCCCGCTTGTGTCTCCCTCCCTCCCACCCTCCCTATCCCACCCCTCCAGGCGATCACAAAGCACCGAGCGAGCTGATCTCCCTGTGCTATGCGGCTGCTTCCCACTACCTAGCTACCTCTCTCTCGCTTTGTCACAGCTTACCCTTCCCCCTCCCCATATGCTCAAGTCCATTTTCTTGTAGCTCTGTGTCTTTATTCCTGTCTTACCCCTAGGTTCTTCATGACATTTTTTCCCTAAAATTCCATATATCTGTGTTAGCGTACGGTATTTGTCTCTCTCATTCTGACTTACTTCACTCTGTATGACAGACTCTAGGTCTATCCACCTCATTACATATAGTTCAATTTCGTTTCTTCTTATGGCTGAGTAATATTCCATTGTATATATGTGCCACATCTTCTTCATCCATTCATCCGATGATGGACACTTAGGTTGTTTCCATCTTCGGCTATTGTAAATAGAGCTGCAATGAACATTTTGGTACATGACTCTTTTTGAATTATGGTTTTCTCAGGGTATATGCCTAGTAGTGGGATTTCTGGGTCATATGGTAGCTCTATTTGTAGTTCTTTAAGGAACCTCCATACTGTTCTGCACAGTGGCTGTATCAATTTACATTCACACCAACAGTGCAAGAGGGTTCCCTTTTCTCCACACCCTCTCCAGCATTTACTGTTTCTAGATTTTTTGATGATGGCCATTCTGACTGGTGTGAGAATCATCTCACTATAGTTTTGATTTGCATTTCTCTAATGATTAGTGATGTTGAGCATTCTTTCATGTGTTTGTTGGCAGTCTGTATATCTTCTTTGGAGAAATGTCTATTTAGGTCTTCTGCCCATTTTTGGATTGGGTTGTGAAAATCAACATTTTCACAATGTTGATTCTTGCAATCCAAGAACATGGTATATCTCTCCATCTGTTTGTATCATCTTTAATTTCTTTCATCAGTGTCTTATAATTTTCTGCATACAGGTCTTTTGTCTCCTTAGGTAGGTTTATTCCTAGATATTTTATTCTTTTTGTTGCAATGGTAAATGGGAGTGTTTTCTTGATTTCACTTTCAGATTTTTCATCATTAGTGTATAGGAATGCAAGAGATTTCTGTGCATTAATTTTGTATCCTGCTACTTTACCAAATTCATTGATTAGCTCTAGCAGTTTTCTGGTGGCATCTTTAGGATTCTCTATGTATAATATCATGTCATCTGCAAACAGTGACAGTTTTACTTCTTTTATGTTTTGGATTCCTTTTATTTCTTTTTCCTCTCTGATTGCTTTGGCTAAAACTTCCAAAACTATGTTGAATAAGAGTGGTGAGAGTGGGCAACCTTGTCTTGTTCCTGATCTTAGTGGAAATGCTTTCAGTTTTTCACCATTGAGGACGATGTTGGCTGTGGATTTGTCATATATGGCCTTTATTATGTTGAGGAAAGTTCCCTCTATGACTACTTTCTGCAGGGTTTTTATGATAAATGGGTGTTGAATTTTGTCAAAAGTTTTCTCTGCATCTATTGAGGTGATCATATGGTTTTTCTCCTTCAGTTTGTTAACATGGTGTATCACGTTGATTGATTTGCATATATTGAAGAATCCTTGCATTCCTGGAATAAACCCCACTTGTGTATGTTCCGTTTAATGTGCTGTTGGATTCTGTTTGCTAGTTTTTTGTTGAGTATTTTTGCATCTATGTTCATCAGTGATATTGGCCTGTAGTTTTCTTTCTTTGTGACATCCTTGTCTGGTTTTGGTATCAGGGTGATGGTGGCCTCGTAGAATGAGTTTGGGAGTGTTCCTCCCTCTGCTATATTTTGGAAGAGTTTGAGGAGGATAGGTGTTAGCTCTTCTCTAAATGTTTGATAGAATTCGCCTGTGAAGCCATCTGGTCCTGGGCTTTTGTTTGTTGGAAGATTTTTAATCACAGTTTC